ACAAAACTAGGAACTGCAGCAAGCGCTAACAGAGGCCCATTGGGACAGGAATCATGCTGCTCCATGCTTAAGTCTTTAAATCTTTCATATTTGTCGTATAAAAATATGTTCCTTCCTTCTCTCTCATTGTTACTCATTACATTTATTGTTTTTTTTATATTCTACTCTTTCCCTTGATATTTGTCCTTGCACGCTTTCCCTTCAATCTAATTTTTAGATTAGATTTTTAATTTTTAACAAACTGATCAATCTGTGAGAAAGTCTAGATTGTGTCTGCTGATAAACACAGTGATGAGCCAGTAAAGGACTATAAATGATTCCTTTGTAAAAAAAAAAATAAACAAAAAAAAAACCGAAAAAAAAAGGAATGAACTGTAAGAGTGCAAATACAGGTTAGAAGATGAGGAGTAAATGAGTAAAGAACCTGAGATATATTAAAAACAGAAGCCTTTTTTCAGAATTGATTACCAGAGCAAAGGATAATGTTTGTACAGGTTTTTATCTCTTAGTAGTTTAATAGATAATATGTGTGAGTAATTTGAGTTTGTGAATGATTAATTATTCACTAAATACTGTATATAAACAGACCCATGTTCTATTGATTCATGGTTAACCAACCCTAATGATTAAGGTCATATAAAGCAATAAGGAACAGTTTTTCATTGTTGGGTACAAGGAAGGGAATTTGTTATTACTGATCCAGCTCTTTCACACCACCGAATTAACCCTTAAACATCTGGGTGTTTTTGTATGAACTTGTATCAAACCCTTATAGAGCTACAAACTGCCATGATCATGTAAAAACCAACAAAACATTTTTAAACCCACCAAACATGATGATGCAACATGTATTTTATTCTATTAATCATTTATCTCACGTTGACTGTGGTACAAACGACACAGCAAAGTTCAGAGCTACTTGTCGACAGATATTTTGACCAGGAAGTAAGCAATATGTAAGGTTCAAGAATGAATACTAAAGAGGAGGTTTGTAGGCTTTAATTTTGGCCCACACTGTAACTCATTGTAATAATTATGTATGCAGTTGTGAGTCTATGAACCCTTTGCAATTAATGAAGACATGTAGAGCACAGCATGTGTGATGGAAATCTTATGAGTGAAAGTGTAACATTCATACAGCATTTGATATTTGATTCATTTCTGCTTGTGAATTGATTCATATAGCAGTGGAGTCATTTTACAAACAATTCAGATGAGTTTTGAATACAGAAGCTTGGTTTAAAATGATAACTAACTTTAGAGAGTCATTCAGGAAGCAGAGATTGTCCTGATTTCTCTTGTCAGCTTTGTCCTCTTATCTAACTTCCTCGTTCCATTTATGCCTGTCATCCGTGAGTCCACCAGGTCTTTTTTTTGAAAGAAAGTAGTCATTTCAGACCATCTCTCTCTCTCTCTCTCTCTCTGTCTGTCTGTCTGTCTGTCTGTCTGTAGGACTTGATGCAGGAACTGAAATCAGAACTGACAGGGAAATTTGAGACTTTGATTCTCGCACTGTTGGAGACACCTACAATGTATGATGTGAAGTGCCTGAAGCATGCCATTAAGGTACACACACACACACACACACACACACACACACAAACAAACACTTGTATATCATTCTATCAATGTACACATACCCAGCTCCTCCTGTTACTCCGGTTTCCTCCCCCAATCCAAAGACATGCTTTGTAGGCTGGTTGGCTTTTCCAAATTGTCCATTGTGTGTGAATGTGTGTGTGTGATCATCCCCTGTGATGGGTTGGAACCCCGTCCTGGGTGTCCCCCACCCTGTGTCCTGAGACCCTTGGATAGGGTCCAGGTTCCTCATGAGTATGTGTAGGATAAGTGGCATGGAAAATGGGTGGACATACCCAGCTTAGTCTGAAGAATTGTTGTTGTTGTTTTTTTTTCCTCAGGGTGCAGGAACATCTGAAAAGGTTTTGATTCACATCCTGGCTTCAAGAACTTGCAATGAGATTCAAGAGATCAATAAGGCCTACAAGCAGGGTATGAGAATCTGGGGGTTTTACTTTTGTATGGGTGCAAGTTACAGTTTGTAGTGCTGATTATCTGGATAATTGGTTTAAGGATCAGGGTTCGTGTCGGTTACTAGATGATAAGTGTGTGTGTGTGTGTGTGTGTGTGTGTGTGTGTGTGTGTGTGTGTGTGTGTGTGTGTGTGTGTGTGTGTTACAGAGTATGGTAAAAGCCTGGAGGAAGATGTGACTGGTGACACTGCTGGAGCCTTCAGGCAGATGCTGGTCATTTTGTTGCAGGTAATGTGTGTGTGAATAATGTGTAATTCTTTTTTTTTTTTTAATAATAAAGTAATGATTGCATTATGTCAATATGGGGAATGGTATAAGTGTGTATAATATTTATTGTTTTAATGAGAACTGTTTTGGTTGTAGGCAAGCAGACAGCAGGGTGTACAAGAGGCCTTGGTACAGTCCGATGCGAAGGTATGGATGTATGTTAGACTAGCAAAATAAGACGAAATAAAACTATAGCAGAGTGGATTGTACTGCCACCTAGTGGTCAGATGTAGCGAATGAATATTCATGTGCTTCAGCAATTTGCAGTTAGTGTTATAGTGCCCCCTACTGATCTGTCTGCAGACTCTTTTAGTATGATGCCCAAAGAGCTACACAGTAAAGTAGTTGATTTTCTGTAGAGTTTAGAAAAACACCTCTTGACAGACTAGTTCACGCTGAGTATTTCTTGTTTTAGCCACCACCAATGGTACTTTATTTTAAAGAGCAACACCAATGCAATTATTGAAAAATATAACAAAAACAAGTTTTCTTTTCTTTCTTTAAATTTTTGTATTTTTCATTTGAATGATCCAGTATATCGTCAGTAAAAATGAGGTAGCATTTGTCTAAAGCAGAGGTTACACCAGATCTCTCTTAAGTTTTAATGTGTGTGTGTGTGTGCATGCAGACCCTCTTTGAAGCAGGAGAAAAGAAATTTGGTACAGATGAAGAACAATTTGTGACTATTTTGGGGAACCGCAGTGCTGAACATCTTAGGAGAGGTATATTTTTCTCTCTCTCTCTCTCACTCAGATTATTAACATCCTTCATAAAATTAACCTGCATGTAAAGAATTCCCATGAGAACATTTTTACTCTCGACACATGTGGGGAAATTTTTACATCATTACCAAAATATACACTGGTTTTAAATAACTCTTAGTCCTTATGAACAGTGTAGTTGGCTCGATCATGTCGATCATTTCCATGGGGTAAAATACGAGGCCGTGCTCACCAACTGTCTTTGTTTTGTTTTGACAGTTAGTTGATCTTTTGTTAAGATGTATTTTCCAACCTCATCACGTATTATAAGAGAAGATTCAGAGATGTTATCTTGGGAAAGGGAGGTAGCACAAAGTATCGACTAAAAATACTTAGAAAGGCCAATAATTGTTGCACACCTATATTTAACACAGAATTTTTTTTTTAAATAAACCTGTGTTTTGTTTGCAATTGTTTGATATCCATGAGAGCATTTCTATGGATTCTTTGACAAAAGATCAAAAGGTTAAACAATTAAGACCATTCTTAGCTCATATTCACCAAGGGTGCCAATATTAATGGAGGGCACTGTACTTAGGCCTTGTTCTGTCCTCATTGAGCACTGGCTTGTGTTGCATTTTTGCAGTGTTTGCTGAGTATATGAAGCTGTCTGGATTTCAGATCGAAGAGAGTATTAAAAGAGAAACCTCTGGACACCTGCAAGAAGTGCTGCTGGCTGTGGGTAAGGCACACACACACACACACACACACACACACACACACACACACACTATCAGTTCACATTCTAAAATATTCTCTCCCTTCTCTTCTCCCTTACTCCTTCTCACTCATTTTGTGTACTTTGTGTACATGTTTGTGTACTTACTGTTGTGTAATATCTCATATTGTGTACCTTTGGTCTCTTACAGTAACGTGTGCCAGAAGTGTCCCTACCTATTTAGCTGACTGTCTGCATAAAGCAATGAAGGTAAAAGTCTGGCGTTATCTCAAATACTGAAACTCCAGCTCAGATAACTCTTACTACATCAACCATTTTAAGAAATATAACAAATGCTAGTCCTTGATATTTTAAGGTGTTTATATACGGTGTAGTTCCAGTGGATGAGGGACTGTAGAGAGTAATGCATTCTGGGCATACAATTATATGCATTATATAAATAATTTGCTAACATATTCTACCTTAACCCCTTAACCTCCCAAGACTGGTTGTTCGATCCTCACTCTTCTAACTATTCTTTTCAAGTGACTTTCAGTGTTGTTACTGAAGCTTAAATGTGCTTTAAGATGAATAACTGAATTGTTATTGGGGACTTTAAGGGGTTACTTGTAGCTTCATGAAAGATTTCTTTTTCAGAAACAGCCCTCATTTTTTTTCTTTCTTTCTGATGGTCTCAAGTTATCTTGACGATGTATTCTTTTAAGCAATTCCATCTGGGATATTCACTCTCTATTATGGCCCGACTGATGTAAATATTTTCTTACCACACATTATATTACCAATAATTATATAGTATTTAAAAAGCTATATGTCTTGAAAAAATTAGATAAGTTGTTTAATTTATATATATATATATATATATATATATATATATATATATATATATATATATATATATTTTTAACATCTTAATTTTTAACATTTTAATATTTTTAAATAAATATAATATTTATATTATTAATGACTTAAATTTTCCAGTATAATTGCACTGTCTTAATATTATCAGATTTTGTTTGGAAAAATCACTATATCAGTCAGGCCATACACTCTATGGGCCGTATTCAGAGTTTGCCAAAAACTGCGGCAGGACTGATGAGAATTTTGTTGCACGATATTGACTCGAGCATTTCCATTTACTGCATTTGGCAGATGACCTTATCCAGCGCAACTTACATCAATCTCATTTATTCAATGGAGCAGTTGAGGGTTAAGGGCCTTGCTCAAGGGCCCAACAGTGGTAGCTTGGCAGTGCTTCGACTTGAACTCATGACCTTCTGATCAGCAACCCAGAGCCTAAAACCACTAAGCCACCACTGCCCGAGGAAGTAGCAGTACTTAAGGCAGCATCTTAATCTGCAACATGCCTCTCTCAAAATGACCCGAGTCATTTGGTTTAGATAAAATTATTAATGTTAACCAAAAAAAAGGTGCAAAATAAGAGTGTACTGGATCAAGTGTTATTTGATAAGACGTTGAATAATGAACGTGGAAGCCATATGATTGAAATGAAACCAAATTTTCAGTGATATAATGTGATAATTAAACTAGGACTGTTCGTGCAGCAATATACTACATTTCTCGATGTCCTATATGTATGATATATATCTTCTCATTCATATATCATCGTATTAGTCTTCATTTAAAATTTTAGAACATATTACGATCATTTCACGACGAAGGAAAAAATTAATGTATGATGATTTTTTGATGACCCCCCCCCCCCCCCCCCCAGCTTAAAGACAAGTGCTTGTGTTTAAAGGCAGTTGTCTAGACTCTCTTGAAAAACCTCGTCTTGCACACTTCTACTCAAAAATAATCCCGTAACCTTGGAAACCGAATGCAAGTGACTTTAATATCTGTAAATCCACTCTTCATATGAGTAACTGTCTGCGTAAGTCGGCGACTCTGAATACTGCCCTACTTGGAGTATCAGTATATGAATGCTCATACGCTGTGTGCGGTGCTGAAATTCTATGCTTCCTTGACGCAGGTTTTCTTCAAACAGTCTCTCTCCTATTTGTCTGTTAACCCAACCTGTCTCGGACTGATATCACTACTTTTGGTAGTTTCTGTTCGGTCTGATGTGGTGAGGGGCATGAAGAAACGGGCCGAGGGCAAATCCTGTGTTCCTCCCAAACGAAACGCACCAGTGTGGGAAACGCAACAGGGTTTGATTCAAACATTCTTAAAACTGCACAAGTGAAAGAGGAAAAACAGCCAGATCTCCTTTATTAGTCCTTTTAAGTCTGACCTTTCAGACTGACCTTTTTTTTTTCTAGTAAAAAAATCTATCAATTTTTAGATTTTGATTCCAAATAGCCACCTAAGGAAAGGAATTGTGTATATATTGTTGATATTTCAACATATATACCTCCTTAACAAGCAACACGTTTTAAGCTTGTTGCTGATGCAAATCAGCCTTCTCCACAGGGCGCAGGGACTGACGATAAGACGCTGATCGAGATCATGGTGTCCCGCAGTGAGATAGACATGCTGGATATACGTGCAGAGTTCAGAAGGATGTTTGCCACGTCTCTGTACAAAATGATTAAGGTATATATACTTTGTCTAAAAAAAAAAACAACCAAACGAGTCTTTCATACGTGATATTGAAAAGATCTTGTTGAAATTGCTGTACACCCGTGCTTATAAACAATATATTTCCCTCGCTTTTGTTACTCTTTATTACAGGGTGATACTTCTGGTGATTATTCTAAAACCCTGCTTCTGTTGTGTGGCGGTGATGATGCCTAAATCTGCTCCTGGATCTACAAATATGAGCCGCACTTCGATATTCTGGCAATTTCACACTTAACAGATTGCTGAAAATATGTTTTTCATTGTACATGTTACTAATAGTGATGCTCAGTAACTCATTACATTGATAATCCATAATAATGAAGTCTGTTTTAATATCACAGTTTTTTTCTTGCATGCTATTACATGATTGTAATTGTGTAGTGGTCCAAAATTTTGTAAAAGAAAGTAAATAAAAAGCAGGTCTCCTTCATGGTGCTACAAAACCAAACGTTTAATGAAGTGGATAAATATTTCTATGTTATTTCTTTATACTGCTTTAATAAATAAATGTTATGGGCATTATAAAAATGGTATGAAGTGGGGAAGCATCCTTTTTTTTTCTTTGCGTTAGGTGAAAAACTGTTGATTGATCCTTAATGTTTTCAAACTAATAGTTTCTGAGACAAGTGATTTATTCATGAAGTAAATTAGTAACTAAAGACATACAAATTCCCGTCCTTTCAAATAATCACTTACAAATTGAGAGGACCTTTTTTTTTAAGCTACAAAAAACATATTTATTATAAGAAAATTTATATTTATTATAATTATTATATTTTTAAGAAAAACAAGGAAGAAACTAATGATTTTGTGTCCATTCCAATCATAAAAGTCATGGGCTGAAGCTTCACATGCTGATGAACAGTTGCATTGTTCCTCAAATCTAGATGGTAATCACAGAAAATCTGTTTGACCTCTGTCCAAATCACAACCTTGAAAATATGTATTATTTTTTTCAACTGTACATTGATCATTTAATACTATTTTGACCCCAGCCAAAAGCTTACATTATCCTTAATGTTTCCTGAAGCTCACGACGTAGAACATGGGTGTCAACCGGCCCGCTAGAGGGTTCAATCCAGCCCGCAGGACGAATTTTGAAAGTGAAAAAAAAAATGCATTAAAGACACGAACTTGTCATTTTTAATAAAATGCTATTCCTAAATTATCCGCTAGGGGGGGGTGTGGTAAAAGACGCGGCACATCTCTGGGACTGAACAGCAGATGGCAGCAATGCAACGTCTGCTGTTTGTTATCACGATGCATTTTCTACTCGTCCCCACACCCTCGTTAGCCAAAATATCTGCCAAAAAGCAGAATAGAGGATACAGAGTGTAGAGTTTTCCATGAAAAATGGACCGCTTCCTATTTATTCAGAGAGATGAATGGGTAATGGGTAATGGGTAAAAAATGTGCAATTTAATGTTAGTCAGTTGGTTTGAGTTTGGTGGAATGAGTTTGGTTTGGTGGAATCCTAATGTTCATACAATGCCATAAATTTTAAAGTGAAATATTATATTTTTCAGTTCCAAATACCTGTGAAGTTTTTTTATTTGTACAAACACTGTGAGCAGTTGTAATGCACATATATGTGAATGATAATCAGAAGCAAATTGCACGTTTGTCTAAAGAAATCTGAGTTTGCTCATGATATATTTTATAAAACGATATTTCATTAAATATAAATGTCTTTGCATGAAAACAAAGGTAAAAACATGGACTTCTTGTTATTTATAGGTGATTATATTATGATTTTACTGGCCCAGCCCACTTGACATCTAATTAGGCTGTATGTGGCCCCTGAACTAAAATGAGTTTGAGTCATAGAGCATCAGACTTCCAACCCATGTTTTTGTCCTTTTTGCAGAAATGATCTGGTCACTTTTGGATGACTTTGCAAGTCCTTCTGAAATAATTAGGAATTTTGAATAATAACCACTGATAATGTCAGCAATATTGCATGAATGCTACGGTGCTTGGACCCCAATAATCACTGCTTGTAGCCATATTTACTATTATTATTATTTCATATTACAGTATGCATGCACACAATAGTTCTGAAGGAATTTGGTCAACATCAAATTTAAATGAGCTTGATATGACATTCTGCATATGAATGATACGATATTCTGCACATTCTGCATATTACTTCTGCATAAAATACATAGGAGAAATAGACCTCTCAGAGACATGATTTGAGGTCAAATGACCTGTGAAGTTGATATGGCAAGGCCTATTTCAAGGTCCTACACAAGAATGCTAGCTCCTGCTCTCACTTGGGTCTCTCAGAGGTAAAAAAAGAAAAAAAACAACAACAACAACAACAACAAAAAAACAGATGATCAAAATATGACACAGTAAATCAAAATTAAGTCAAATATATTATGATGACTTTCTCTTTTATTGTGTGCATTTCATCACATCAGTAGATGGCGTGAGAGAACCAGTAGTGCCACAGTCCAATGCAGATTTAGAGACTGATTCAAGTTAAGACTTAAACCTTTACATAAGTGCTGTGTTTACATTAAGAAATATGAATAGCATTGAACTACACCTTTATTTGTCATTAAGAATGAATATATATATATATATATATATATATATATATATATATATAATATATATGTGTGTGTGTGTGTGTGTGTGTGTGTGTGTGTGTGTGTGTGTGTGTGTGTGTGTGTGTATGAGCTTAAAATGTTGATAAAGTGTATCAACAATCCTGAGTGTCTATTGGAGACCAGCTATGGATTAACTGAAATGATGAGGAACTGTCAGAGTTCGAATGCACAGACAGTGCTGGCATTTCTACCTCTGTGCTTCTGTTTTTCCAGTATTTTTGGAAGGATACAAGTAGGGTTCATATTTAATTTTAAAATCTTCTGGTCTAGGCCACACTCACTTCGGGCTTAAATCAGTATGCAGATACAGATATGATATTTGGAACACAAAACAGATACAGACACAGACATTGGATTACACCCCTAATACATGCATATTTATGCATATGCCTTTTGATCATTTAGACTACACAGTCCTCCTACTGGCATGTTTTTGGGACGTTTAAGAAAACCAGAGAACCCAGAGGAAACTTATATGGATACAGGAAGATAACAACAGAGAACCTGAGCTCAGGATCAAACCTCAGGGTCTTGGGAGCTGTGAGATGGCAATGCTACCACCACCATGTAACCCTGTATTGTACTTAAAAGAGTCGAATAACAGACTAATAAAATAAAAAGGTCATGAATTTAATTATTATTGCTGATAAATGAAGATTTTTAATATACAGTGCCTTGCGAAAGTATTCGGCCCCCTTGAACTTTTCAACCTTTTGCCACATTTCAGGCTTCAAACATAAAGATATAACATTTTAATGTTTTTGTGAAGAATCACCAACAAGTGGGACACAATTGTGAAGTGGAACGAAATCTATTGGATATTTTATACTTTTTTAGCAAATAAAAAACTGAAAAGTGGTGCGTGCAAAATTATTCGGCCCCTTTACTTTCAGTGCAGCAAACTCACTCCAGAAGTTCAGCGAGGATCTCTGAATGATCCAATGTTGGCCTAAATGACTGATGGTGATAAATAGAATCCACCTGTGTGTAATCAAGTCTCTGTATAAATGCACCTGCTCTGTGATAGTCTCAGGATTCTGTTGAAAGCGTAGAGAGCATCATGAAGACCATGGAACACGCCAGGCAGGTCCGTAATACTGTTGTGGAGAAGTTTAAAGCC